GCGCTTTTGCCGCTGAGCTAAATCCCCAGCCCCCCACTGTGCCACTTTGGATGAGTAAAGTAGGACGGGGGAGAAATTTGAGCCCACCTTGGGTAACTTAGGGAGGTCCTTTGCTTGGCTTTGCTTTGGTTTTTTTCTCTCTTTTTTTTTTTTTTTTTGAGACAAGGTCTCACTATGCAGTTCAGGCTGGCTGACCTTGAACTCACTACATAGTCAATGCTGGCCTCAAACTCATGGCAGTCCTCCTGCCTCAGCCTCCCGAGTGCTGGGATCACAGGTGTGCAGCACCTCGGCCGACTAGTCTCCTTACTTAAAGTCAACTGATTATGGATGCTAACCACCTCCATCAAATCCCTTCACAGCAACACCTAGATGAGTGTGTGATTAAATAACATGGTGTAGACCAGCCAAATTCACACATAAGGCTAGTCGGCACATCTGTTTGTTTTTTTTTTTTTTTTTTTTTTTGGTACTGGGAGTCAAACTCAGGACCTTGTGCTTGCCAGGCAGGCACTTGTGCCGCTGAGCTATCTCCCCAGGCCTCGTTACATCTATTAAATGAATTTTTAAGGGTTATTAGAGGATAGTTATCAAGAAACAAGTGAGATCATTACTGACTTTTAGTGGAGAACCCTTTGGAACCCTACTGGAAGCCTGGCTGTCAGGCAGCAGTGCACGCGCCTGTGTGCTCCCAGTCGGGGTCAGTTTTCACCGTGATCCGTTGTTCAGCAGTGTCACTGTCATCTCACTTTGCTTTGTTTGTGCCGTTTGGCTTCATCTGCACTTCATTCACTGGTCCACCCAATAATGTCGTGGAGTAAGTGGACAACAAATAAGGAAGCAATACTGGGGGGAAAGGACCTCTTCTCCACAGTTGGTGGGAGTGTAGCCTGGTACAACCACTGTGGAAATCAGTGTGGAGATTCCTCAGAAAATTACGACTCAAGGTTCCATTTGACCCAGCCATTGCCCTCCTGGGTATCTTCCCAAAAGAATCAAAAGCATCATACCACAGTGATCCATGCCTACCTGTGTTTATGAGGGCACAGTCTGTAATTGCCAAATCTTGGAAACAGCCCAAATGCCCATCATCTGG